TTTGATATCGTACTCCAATCGTCCAATATCGCATGGTAAATTAACATTTTTTTTTTACGTTTTATCGATTAATTATTAATAAAAATATAAAAAATCGAGCTTATTTTGATTGTTAAAAAAATTCTTCTCTACAACTTTAATAATAGGTAGTTTTGCTGTAAACTATTTAAATAAGCCGTATTACTTGAATTATCGAACAATTTGGGTATGATAAAAAAAAGAAATAGGTACTCAAAAAACCATTTATAACAATTAACAGAAATCATTCAATGTAGACAATCTGAGCCACAACCAGGTAAGTGGTACATATTATAAATTTAATATAATTTGCGAAAGGATATTTTAAATAGTCCATACCATATATTTGGCAAACGCCAAACACTCTAATTGTGCCCGATATTTTTGCACGGGAAGAAAGTTATACGAACTGAATTTGATCGACGAAGTAATGCAAAGTGGTTTGATGAAAGAAATGACAACTGCACTTAGACGTATTGCTGATAATGCAAAAAGTTTATTACTTGATGTTGATAACAACATCTGCGAACAGTTTAATAGTGTCATTAATAAGCACATAGGCGGTAAACGAATTAATTTTTCTCAAAAACAGTCGTACACCACTAGAATATATACCTACTGCTGTACTGCTGTAGTATCATTTAATACAGGTGACAATTATATACGAGAGCTTCACAAAAAGATAACAACCAAAAGTCCAGGTACATTATTTAAAAAGTATCTACAGTGAGTTTAATTAATTAATTTTAATTTTATAATATTATTATGGCATGAATTAGAATTTAATTGAAATTTTGAGTTTTTTACAACAACGCTTTCAAATTAAAATTAAATAAATACTACCAAAACTTATATTTCACATTTCACATTTTTATATTTTGGTATATCGTATTAGCTATGAGTAAATTAAAAATTGAAATAATTTGTATATTAAAGGTGTATAGGCACAATAATAAAATAAATAAAATATTTCATTATGAATTATTTTTCAGTATTTATAATGTATGAATAGTATTAATTTATTATTATGTGGGTAATTGTTTTAATATTATTATAAGTGTATAGGAATCATAGCCAAAAAATTTTTGAAGCATACGCAGGGCCGGTTTTAAGGGGCGGCAAAATTATCTCAGATAAAATAAACAAAAAATTAATTTTTTATGTAAAGAGAAAGATTTCTAAAAAATGATACATTTTATTACTATTTATTTTTTAAATTCACATATGCATACGTTTTTTTTCACCTATATTTTATCATTTTAAATAAAGAAAAATAAACGTTATTAACTAAGTAGGTAGGTACCTACTAGGTATCATGGAAGATTCTAGGTAGATAGTACCTAAGACCTAAGTTATAAATTAGTTACTTATGTTTTTTTGTATAGTTGTTTTTTTGTCTTATTCTGTGGTTTACCTACTATTAAAAATCTAATATTGGAATGCATAGGTACCTAGATAAAATTGCTAAAAATTAACTGCAAATTAAATTTCAATGAGAAAGGGAAACATAAAAAAGGTGGGCAAGTGGCCAGTGGGTGTCGCGCTCTGCTGTACAGTAGGTTACAAGTCTGTCACTGTATAATGGATAGTATTAAATTTGAATTCAATGATATAATATCATTGTATAAGAAAAACGATTCTGAGCGGAGATGGTATGTCAGTCTAGGTATAAGACATAATATTGTATACATATCTATGGTATTAGAAAAAAAATTGACCTATAATAGGTAGTAGGTACCTATAATAAATTCCAAATTAATCATATCACAATATCCATTAGGTGCTGATAACGCGTTATACATCAACAACATACCGTGATACTATCATAGATATATAATAGCACACTTTAGAAGTTTCAAGTACTCACGAATAACATAATTCAATAACAACAAAATAACTAAAATAGTTATTCTAGGTTTTTTAATATGTAATATCGTTCAAATTTGAATTTAAAATTTCTGTAAAAAATAACTGTGTTCATATATTTTTTAGATTTTTTGGTTACAGTATGAACTATTTATGAGAACCTTTGTTTTAAATTTGCAATCCTTAGCTATAAAAACTGAACATTTTATAATTTATTAATTACAATGATTTATAATTTTCGAGATTTTGATAAATTTTGTCAAAATTCGATCTTTAAATGCTTATAAAAAAAAACTGTGCCTATGTATTTTTAATATTTTTCAACTGCTCTTGTAACAATATATCAGGAGACTTGTATTAATTTTTTACACTTTTTGGCCCAATAGATAAAATTTTATTGATATTTATAGAAAAAAAACTAAAAAAAATTGAAAGATGTAAATGTCCATAAACAGCTCAAAAAGAGTCAAAATATTTTCAAAATTGTATGGTGTATAGGAAATGCTAATATAAATATTCAGTGAAATTTTCATGTATCTAAAGTTATTCGTTTTTGAATTACAACAAAATAAGGAAATCGCTACATGAGAAATCGAGTGAATATTCAATGTTGTAAAAATTTGAATTTCAAACGCTCTTAAAAATTTAATTTGATTTTCTTATATACATTTTTTTTTTGATAAGGGTAGATAATCTTATAAGGAATCTTGTATTACATTTTCAAATCTTAGATTTAAAAAGAAAAATTTTTACGAATTTCTAACTCAAAATAATTTGCTAATTTTAGTGATTTTTCGATATTTTGTCAATTTTTGAACTTTAAATGCTTATAAAAAAAAAACTGTGACTAAGGATTTTTAATATTTTTCATCTGCCTTTGAAAAAATATACTAGGAGCCTTGTATTAAATTTTCAAGCTTTTTTAACCAACAAATAAAATTTTATTGATATTTCTAGAAAAAAAACAAAAAAAATGGAAAATGAAAATGTCCCTAAACAGTTCAAAATAAATCAAAATATTTTGAAAATGTTATCGTATATAGAAAATGCAAATATAAACAACCAGTGAAAATTTCATGTACCTAAGGTCATTTTTTTTAAAGTTACACCAAAAACTAAATTCCATTTTGTGAAAAATCGATTTTGCGTAAAAATTCCCGTTTTCCTTAATTTTTATGTTGTTTTTCCCGGTGCTTTTGAAAATTACTGAGCATTTTAAATTTTGACCTCCCAATGCACCAACGATATTCACTTTCCAATCGAACAAGATACTGAAGTTGAAAATCGAAGCATTATTTCTACTACTTATCGTGTACACAGACACAAAAAAAAAAAAAAGAAAAAAAGAAAACTATAAATTATATTATACTTGTTGAACTAATATTAATTTTTTTCATGGTTAAATAATAGGAAATTGTTGCGCGTTACCCTTTTATTATATTAATATAGGTAATATGATTATAATTTCTTTTTTAAATATAAATGTGGTGATAAATAATATAGGTCACATACTAAATCTATTTATTGATTTTATCCATTCGATAAACTGTAATTCATTGGATTGTGTAATACTTAAAATATAGTAGTTTGTATAGTAGGTAATTTTAAACTAACAGTTACTTATAGAAATAATTTTTTAATAAATTTATGTTACAATTTGTTATCATTATATTTTACAACTATACATTTTAAATTAGTTATTTTTCTCAGTCAATGTACCCGATCTCTAAAAATTACAGAATGATAAATAAAGATTTTAGAGTATTATTATTATCATTACGAGTAGATTACCTATAATTATTATATTACTATATTAGGTATACGTTAGGTAATAGGTATACCTACTACAAACATATTATTAATTTAAATAAATATTTGTAATTACTTATTATCATATTTTAATATATCATTAACAGTTGAACTTAAAAAATAATACACGGTAAATTAATATTAATTTAATTGCGCTGTATTTATTTTATTTACCATTTATTAGATTTTACTATAAGTATTATATTTAAATAAGTAATAATTCAATAACTTCAAATCAAGCTATGTTATAATACAGTTTCTACGGTCTACATGTTGGGACATAAATTTAAGTAAACAGTATCTTAATTTATAATATGTAGTTCGTAGGTACGCGAGGGTATTGAAAATATTACGGCGGCATTTGCGTATAATGAATTATATAATGATACGAATGGTACTGGACGAACGTTCATAGACAAATAAACGGCGCTCCCGAAGTCCCGAACGAGCACTCGTCGCCGCCGTCGGCCGGTTGCGAATAGTAGGCGTGACTTAAACGCCGCGCGCTTGCGGATCGTGAAAACACCTAACAGCGCGTCCTCTCGGTCGTTGCATGCGTACAGCTTTGGGTGACACGTCCTCTTAAGTTATCTAGTTGATAAATTTGGCACCGTAATGGTTAGTGAACTAGGAATCGTTAGTTTGTTTCGCTATGGCGACTCCGCAACAGAAATCATTTTGCGTCTTACGTTTCAATAAGTGCGAGTCGGCGATAACTGTTCAACGTGATTTTCGAAGAACTTATGGAACTGAAGCTCCTACTGCTCAAAGCATTCGACGTTGGCACCAAACTTTCCAAGAAAGTGGTTGTCTGTGTGCACAGAAACGCTCAGGCCGACCTCGTACCTCTGACGAAAACATCGAGCGAGTTCGACAAAGTTTCGTTCGAAGTCCACAGAAGTCTACACGTCGTGCAGGCTTAGAGCTAGATCTCCCACATTCGACCGTTTGGCGTGTTCTACGACGTCGTTTGACATTGAAGGCATACCGAATACAACTGTTACAAGCCCTCCTACCGGATGACAAACAAAAAAGGATTGATTTTTGCAATTTCATATCCGAAAAACAAGAAGAAAATGAGTCATTTGTCTCACGCATTGTTTTTTCGGACGAAGCCACATTTCATCTAAGTGGAAAAGTCAACCGCCATAATGTCAGGATTTGGGCTTTAGAGCAACCACACGCAACTGTTGAGCATCAAAGAGATTCACCAAAAATCAATGTTTTCTGTGCAATTTCCAGGAAAAAAGTTTACGGTCCATTTTTTTTTTGAAGAAAACACAGTAACGGGTAACACATATCTAAACATGTTGCAAACATGGTTGTTTCCACAGTTACAAGCGGATAGTGATGATTTTGTTTTTCAACAAGATGGAGCACCGCCGCACTGGAAGTTAGAAGTTCGCCGGTATTTGAACGGTGGATTGGGCGTAAAGGAAACGACGATTTGGCGATTCATCCCTGGCCACCACGTTCCCCTGACCTCACAGTGTGCGATTTTTTTTTATGGGGCTACATAAAAGATAAAGTGTATGTACCACCATTACCTACAAACTTGGAAGAGCTTAAAATCAGAATCAAAGATGCTGTTAATGCCGTGACACCAGATTTGATCAGCAACGTTTGGGAAGAATTTGATTACCGTATAGATGTGTGTCGGGCGGCCGGTGGGGGTCATATTGAACATTTGTAACCAAAGTAAATAAAACTTGACTATTTTAAGAATATATTTTACTTTATTTAACCCTTATATCTTCATTTTTAATATAAATATAATATTCTGAAATCGGATGAAGACTTTTGATACACCCGGTATTAGGTACCTAATGTTATTACTTATTATACTTACTTGCTGGCTAGTCCTGAATATAATAAACGTCAGATTCAGTTATATGTAGGGCGTGGATTTAACTGCAATTAAAACAAGAAAAATGCCTTAAAAAAAATACTATTTAATACAAATTAATATGGATATCTTTATAAAATGCCCTAAAAAATTAAAAGCCAATTTAAATTATTAACATAAAATAAAATGAAGATAGGTAGGTTCGTTATGTTTTCTAGCACTGGTTAGCCAGATGCTATTTAATATTTTAAAATAAAAAACTGACAGTTATTGGCAAGTGTTGTTTTGTATAGCTAAAGTTAGAGAGCCTTTATATGTATATTGTATACATTATTATTACAGCCTTTATTATCTAGCTGAAGTCATAGAAGTGAACTGTGAACATTATACATAATAAAAATAGAAATATTACTAACTAGTAAAAAATATTATATTACATTTTTTTTTTTTTTTGAAGTAACTTAAGGTAAGTTCTTATAAAAGTTTAGTTATTCTTATAAAATGTACAAAAAATGCTCTCTTACAATAAAAATGTCCTAAAAACACAAACAGTTTTTTAAAAAATGTAATTTTTCATTTCATTAATTATTATGTTTTTAGGTAACAGATATGTAATTGAAGCATACCATTTTAATCTACAAAAAGCAGTACAGTATTTCACCATTCCATAAACAATTTGTTGTAAACCCATTCAGTTTGATGACTCGCATAACGTATAATTCCGTTTTGTGAAATTTATCTTCACAATTATTTTGTCCTTATAATTATTACAAGTTATTTTAATGTTCAATTGGTCTGATACATCGCCAAAGTGTTATACAGAATTGTATAACCCAGCTACCAAACTACGTGAGAAAGCACCAAGGATAAAAGATTGTCATTAGTGGGATGGTCTTTGTGTAATAAGTGATCAGTATGTTTTTGCTGTGGGAGGTGTAAATTGTTCATGTTCATAATCTGTTAGTACTTAGTATATGCTTTATGTATCTTTACAATCGCCCTCTCGGGTTCCAAAGGCTGACATGGTAGTTAAATGACAACGATTAGGAGTTGGTGTATTGGATGATTGTATTTATGCAGTAATTTACATATTTTATATTATAAATTTATATTGTTGTGTAATTCTAGGTTGTAGGTGGACATTTCGATAATCCATTAAATAGTGTTGAGGATTTTGATGTCAGTATTCAAAAATGGAGATTGGTGGCTAGTATGTTTACTAAAAAGATGTGATTTGGGTGTTGGTGTACTCAATAATCGTTTATACGAGGTAACTAATAATACTATTTCTTTATTTTGAATTGGTTTTACATTTAATTGAATTAAATTGTGTTGGAGGTGCTGATGATGAAAACTGTTTGAAATCTGTGGAATATTATGATCCCACACTTTACTCATGGACACCAGTTGCAGATATGACACCATTTTCTACAAAATGTTATAATTGAACACTTAGATACATATATGCAATTCGGAATTCCTTCAAATTTCCGTTCTATATAGTTCTATTATATACAATATACATATCTAATAATATATACGAATTAATCATGACGTGTCACGTGTGCATATAAGTCATGTAGACATCTCACATCTACGCTGTATTATATATGCTCGCATTAAACAAAGTTCAAATATTTTTATTCACATAACATATATAGGTACTTATTTATTTTGAGATACTTACATCAACTGGTAAAATTGTCCAGGTACGCACATAAAATGTAATCACTAATCATTATTCGACAGGCAATGAAGAATAAAGAGTATGTCATTGTGCAAGTGGTTTTCCTAAGTACTTTGTTGATACACGGGGATAGACAGAAAAACAAAAATAAAAACAATCATTTTTCTGGGTTAACAATTTATTTATCATCTGCTATAGTGCTACCCACTCAGTAGTCAGTACCTACTTAGGTATTCAAAATTCAACACAAATCTGAACGCAATATTATGATATTATTGGTTATATAATATATAAATAACAGTTGTCATACGCCGGGTATAATAATATAAAATGTTGGTTTTTCAAAATGATATAAGTATTATACAATGTGTGGTCGATGTTAGGGATAATCGATGAACAATATCATTCTGAAAAATATTTGTTTAATTACATTCGAAATCATACTGATACGTTACATTGTATTTAATACTCGTATATGCAGTCCTGTAAAGTATTTGAGTAAAAGTATTCAAATACTTTTTTAAGTATTGAATAACTTTTTAAATACTTTCAGCATGAAGTATTTTGAATGGTATTTAAGTATTTTAAATACTTTTTTTTGTATTAAATACTTTTTGGTATTGAATACTTTGGTTTTTTATTTCGAACATTTTATTTTTATTCGAAATAATGTTAGAAATTTTATAATAAATTAAGAACACAAAATAGGTAGTATTACCAATGGGTGGTTTCTTCCCTCAAAATATCAATCATACAAAAATACCCTATGCACATTTGCTTATTGTTCTAGTTAAGAACAGATTGTAAATTTCATGTAAAAATAAAAAAAAAAAAGGTGGGTAAGTGGATGTCGCTCTGCTGTACAGTAGGTTACAAGTGGGTCACTGTATAATGGATGCTATTAAATTTGAATTCAATGATACAATATCATTGTATAAGAAAAACGATTCTGAGCGAAGACGGTATGTCAGTCTAGGTTTAATACAAATTATATACATATCTATGGTATTAAAAAAAAAATTGACCTATAATAAATTCCAAATTAATCATATCACATTATCACAATATCCATTAGGTACTTATAACACGTTATACATCAACATCAACAACAAACCCTGATACTATCATATATATATATAGTACACTTTAGAAGTTTCAAGTAGGTACCCACGAATAATATTATATAATCACAACAAAATAACTAGGTTTTTTAATATGTAATTTCGTCCAAATTTGAACATAAAATGACTATAAAAGTAAACTGTGATTGTATATTTTTTAGATTTTTCGGTAAGAGAATTAACTACTTACGTGGAATCTTGTTTTAAATTTTCAATCCTTAGCTATAAAAACTGAACATTTTATAATTTATTAATTACGATGATTAATAATTTTCGAGATTTTGAAAAATTCTATCAAAATTCGATGTTAAAATGCTTATAAAAAAAAATTGTGCCTATGTATTTTTAATATTTTTCAACTGATATTGTAACAATATATCAGGAGCCTTGTATTAAATTTTTACACTTTTTGGCCCAACAGATAAAACTTAATTGATATTTATAGAAAAAAAAAACTAAAAAAATTGAAAACTGAAAATGTCCGTAAACGGCTCAAAAAGAGTCAAAATATTTTCAAAATTGTATGGTGTATAGGAAATGCTAATATAAACATTCAGTGAAATTTTCATGTATCTACAGTAATTCGTTTTTTAATTACAAGAAAAAAAGGAAATTGCCACATGAGAAATCGAGTGAATATCCAATGTTGTAAAAATTTGAATTTCAAACGCTCATAAAAATTTAATTTGACTTTCCGGTAGAGATTTTTTTATTGATAAAGGTAGACAATCTTATGAGTAATCTTGTATTAGATTTTCAAATCTTAGATTTAAAAAAAAAAATTTTGACGAATTCTTAACTCAAAATAATTTGCTAATTTTCGTGATTTTTCCATATTTTGTCAATTTTTGTCAAATTGTGACTAAGGATTTTTAATATTTTTCATCTGCCTTTGAAACAATATATTAGGAGCCTTCTATTAAATTTTCAAGCTTTCGCAACCAACAAATAAAATTTTATTGATATTTCTAGAAAAAAAACTAAAAAAAAACTAAAAATGAAAATGTCCCCAAACTGTTCAAAATAAATCAAAATATTTTGAAAATGTTATCGTGTATAGAAGATGCAAATATAAACAACCAGTGAAAATTGCATGTACCTACGGTCATTTGTTATAAAGTTACACCAAAAACCAAATTCAATTTTCTGAAAAATCGATTTTGCGTAAAAATTCCCGTTTTTCCTTAATTTTTCTTTTGTTTTTCCCGGCGCTCTTGAAAACTACTGGGAAATTTAAATTTTGACCTCCCCAATGCACCAACGATATTCACTTTCCAATCGAACAAGATACTGAAGTCGAAAATCGAAGCATTATTTCGACTACTTATCGTGTACACAGACACAAAAAAAATAAATAAAAAAATAAAAAAAAAACACACATCATTGTAAAATCAATACATTCATCGTTTCACTCAGAATCTAAAATGTAATAAACATTTATTTAATAAACTAGCTGATCCCGTGCACTTCGTTTCCCGTTAAATGTACCAACTCTATAATATGACTCAAACATTGTTCAATGCGTTATTTAATATTCGGTGTATGATGTTCTAGATTTATCTTAACTTTTCTGTTGCCCGGAATAAAAATTCTGTTTCGCAGCAGTATATTATCAGGTAGGCAATCTACCCGTGGTAGATCGCGGACCCCGTGCAGTTTGTACGTAAGTGTATGATTCAACTCAAAAAGTACCAAAGTTATACCAAGGTTGACGTTTTTACTTAATTCCACATACCTATAAATCCTAACCTGACCTAACCGTACTAAAATCCGATGAATAAAAAAAACCAAATTTAACCCTTTTTAAATTAGCGTATCTTCTTCCCATAGGTCTAATCTACACACCATCATTAATTTATATATATATATATATATATTGACAAAAAATAATAATACAAATCAACAAACATGCCTGATTAACTAATAGCAACCAATATAATATAATACACCATAGAGTAAATAAAGACAACGGTATCGAGTTCAAATCCCAGACATCAATAAATAGTTATTGCAGTTTTTCTAATTATTCAGTTGACTTT